AATGGCAATGGRACGACCRGAGACCGCTCCCACTGTGGAAGTTCACTGTCMGAGATTGCTACAAAAAGGTGCATAAAACGGTCGACACCATAGACATTGTCAAAAATCGGTGGCAGAGGGACTCTGCCGTGTCAACAGCTTCCCTTCGTAACTTTCGCTGGTCTCATTACACGCACATCATGCCTACCTCTCAGAGGGCGTTGCAATGGCAGATTGTMTATAGATGCCTCCCGACCCCGGACTGGCTTGTGTCAAGATCTACACTTGAACAAAGGGGCATTGCATCCCCCCTCTGCACCTTTTGTGGGACATCGATGCCAAAGTTGAGGGTCSACCTGGAGCTGTGACGCGCTAACCTCACGCCCTGTGTTGTCTTTCGTTCGGAGTGCTAGATGTGCGGAAAGAGGCCCAGAAAAACAGCAAGATGGGGTGTGCCAARGATTTTTGGAAATTGAGTRTGGGTACACACACGAAACTRAGATCCCCCGTKTTGGTCCGATGAAGTAAGTCGATCATTTTTCGAGCGCYGCAAAATGCGCGSGGAAGTTTGGTGCGAGAGGAGAGAGAAATACAAATTCAATCCAGGAAATATTGTCGGACTTCCCACCTGGCGACGGCCCGTCCTTTAGAACAGAAGGGCTTCGGCACGCTTCGCGTGTCTCGCTTTCATATCAAGTCCCGTCGTTGTTCACTGACCAGTTCARAATCCGACGTGGAGGGTCGTAATCGCGTGGCTCTTTCTCTATGTTCGTCCTCGTTCCGCACACGGTAGTGGAAACCCCTGGATTCGTWGCGCTCAAAGCGCTGGCATTCGGTGCATAGGGTRCGCGRCCRATGGGGTTCTACYGCCGTCCACGGGATGACTATCAACTCGTTAAATGACAACAATATCGAGTAGGGTGGGAAGTGTGTATCGATAATGACAAACCCRGCCTCTACGAACCCTGAACAACGGTTTGCCGGAGGGAAGTAGTATCGTCCGCTGATTCGTGCGACAGCTTCTCGTACGTCCCACTCGCACAMACGTGTCCTTTCCTCGTTATAGGGAAAARACCGTGTTGGTGCGGGAGGTAYGGGAGGCTAACGSTCGATCGAAGGGTGCTTGTCASTCCACATGYCAGTCAATTGCAAACATTYCAAGACCTCATCAAGGAAAAACACTCGCGCAATCACTWATCCTTTTCGACACGAGGGAGAGAGAGAAAACACTCATCAGCTTGATCATGCAYGTAACTAAGGGACCGACCCGCGACCAAGGTTCCCGTAATCCRCCGCGGTGTTGATTTCAGGCGCCTTATTTCTCGAGGCTGCCCTGTAGATCGGCTGCAGATGTCGTGCAGCATAAGGCAGATGACATGYGCAGTGCATTCAGAACTACGGATCTAAACRCTTTTGCATTCTCAAACAAAATCCCGACAACAATCGTCTAATCAATGCAAAAAGACGCGTACCTCCATACATACATTCATTGTGGAATGTGCGAAAATGAGATATGCACAGGGATAAAAGATTGATCGCTGAACAATACACACACATCCACCGTTCACAAGACAAGGAGACGGGGTTCTTGCATAGGGGGACTACCCAGGAAACTAATGGAAGAGTTCCGRAASAAGTTCTTTCWCACARGAACAGCRTGCAGACTCATTCCCATTTGAGAGAGAGAGACAAACATCGAGACACATCATCATTCAAAGATAGAGGAGAGAGAGGGAGACGAGGGAGGAATGTCGAAATAGAAGAAGACAAGATCCGAAAAGAGGAAGTTCGGCGTTGCCGCCGTACACTCACGCCAGAGATAAAGATCCGCAAYAACAAAGGCGCATTCGCCGTGAATTCCAATATGGCCCCAGACCAATCACTCACTCAACTCCAATCATCGATCCTCATACCCGCACCGACGATCCCGACCGTCATATGCTAACTCCCACCCTTGCRATCGTCACCCCGCCGACGTAAACTCGACGCGGCTCGCCCAGATCCCACAGTCCATCGTGGCGATCAAGCGCGCAACCGGCCAGCCTATCGTAAGCCCGAGAGGACTTTCCGACTCGCACAAACACTTTGCCTACCCACTGCTTCCTGGAAGCTGGCTCAGGAGTCGAGAACATAAGAGAGATTTGCAGGCSCGTTTGCGAAATTTATAGTGGCGAGAAGGGGGGCGAGGGAGAGAGAGGGCAGGGGGAAAGTCGAAGTCTAAGAAACGAAGCAGGAGGAAACCACTTTGAGAAGAGGGCTCCGTAGAAGCCATGTTGATCCCTCGAGACTCAAGGTTCAACCAATCAGATTCGTTGCGCAATAGGGAGATCCTATTGATCCACGTCCCGGATTGGCGAGCGGGAGTTATCGAGGGATTGACCGGGCGTCATGCGCTAAATTCAGAGGGTTGGAAGGAAAAAGGCGCGAGAAGCAGCGCAAGACGGATCCAAGATTCAGATGATCAAGAAAGGGAAATGGGCGCGCAAAGAGTAGGGCGGGAGAGAGATAAGGAGAGGGAAAAAAATAGTTACGAGGACGGAGAAAGAGGAGGGGGAAGGGAAAAGGAGCGCGGGAGAGAGCGATGTGGGGGACAGAGAGGAGAAAGTTTTGCATGCGCGGCGCCGTCAACAAAAAAAAGGAGAAAAAGGCACYGAAATAGTTACAGATTGCCTACATCCTAAACCAATTCAAAATTGAAATCACCATATCCGCGCGCAAAAGAACGATGCGGGAAAAGAAAGTCCTACGCCTATTCGTATCCCCACAAAATTCCGAGAGTTTTCCCCAACACGATCGAGAACATTCACACACAAAAAGGACACGTCGAAGTTCCGCTCATCCCGGAATTCCCAACTGCCAGGCCCAATTCCTAGTGCGCTCGCTAAGGCGCGTGTAAATTCCTATGCATTTCCTGACGTGCAAAAAGGAAAAAAAAGCAGAACCGAGAAATCACAAAAGCTACTGGAAGATGGGGGCTCGTAACGCGGCACCCAAAATCAAGAAAACGAAACGGGGTCTTTATGGGGTGGGTATGATACAAACGAAAAGGGTACAAAAGATAGCACGGGTTCGGGAAGTAGTTCGTCACATATGCGACGCGCAGGGGGTTCCAAAATTGTGTGATCTCCTGATTGGATGTCATGGCGGAGAAGGAGAGAGGGAGAGGGAGAACAGAGTGATGCATGAGGAACSAAGCGTATCAACAAACGATCCGGCCAGAGCCCATGTTGACACCATCTTCAATTGCCATCGCGCTGCTGGAATCATCGATGGTCGTCCAGGTGACRCCATCATCGTCCGCCGGTTCTCCGTGTGCTCGGCATCCGAGTTTGTCGATGCCCGTTGAATCAGGGCGTAGGTTGACGTCATCGTCGATGGCGTGATCTTCGCGAAGCTTACTGATTCGTGCCATTTTTCCCTGCCGATTAGATGAGGAGAGGAGGGAGTAGTCATGTGATCGGGATCTATCGCCTAGTTGGAATGGGCGAGTAGAGGCGGTACATGGAGGGGAGCTCACGGGGACAACGGGGTGGAAGTGGGGGTAGGTAGCGATTCATCCCTTCCATTGTCACCGGAAGCTCCTCATATCGGATGATCCGGTGGAAGCGAAGGAAGCGATCGCCGCCATGAGGGAGGGAAGCGAGGTAGTCGCGATAGAAGGAGGAGAGGGTGTGGAGGAGCGCCGCTCGAAAGAACTCGTAGTGGCGACAGGCGGGGATTGTCCCTGTGGCTACACAGTAGACTTCTACCACGTTGCATCGCTCCCATGCAGCGCTGAACAGCAGGATATGCCAGCAGAACGTGGGGGCAGCGGGCTGAAGGGATGGGTGGGGGTAAACGGTAGCGAGTAGGCGGGTAGAGTAGAAGTCGCGGAAGAGATGGGGAAGGAAGGGATGGAGGGGAAAGGTGACGGGGGTGCGGATCTGTTTGAGGGTGAGAAAATCAAGGGGACGGCAGGATAACGTCCGAGGACGAAGGCCTATCGCCCGCATCGGTACGTGGGCGAACTGGAGGACGGGTGGGGCTGGAGGAGGAGGGGGATCTGCTCCGTCTCCGTCGTGAGGTGCTTGGGGAGGCGGCTGCGGGGTCGCCATCTTCGGGCTTCGGCGGCTCCGGATTCTTGGTCGGATCATCCCCGATGCGCAGGCTTACTCCGCTGGCTAACTCCAGCTGGCGCTTCCCGGAGGCGATTTCTTCTCGCTTGCGTGCGGCCTCAGGGTCTTCCGCTTCTGTGCCCGTGCGCGCAGCTTCCTCCGGCAGGGCTTCCCACTCAGATCCGGTTTCTTCTTCCTCCTCTTCTTCTTCACTCAGCTCGCCCTCACTATACTCACTATAACTTCCTTCCTCCGACGTTTCCTCGTCGTTGTCTTCTTCGTCGTCGTCGATCACCACTTCCTCCGTGAGGGATGATGTCATAAGGCTTCAGGAACTCCTGCCGTGATGGTAGCGTATCTTCGTCCCTGGGTTCCTCCAAGCACGCAGTCCACTGAAGGTACGGATCCAACGACTGCTCGAGAACGTATGGAGCGGGGCTGTCGTCACTTTGCGAAAAGATGTCGCGCGAGAGATTGTCCGCCAATTGTACGATCGGCGCGATGAGCTCCTGCGCAATCAACTGGCGACGGCCCGGCCGTACCGATCCAAAGAGAAAGCCGAGAAGGTCGCCCTCGACGTTAGTTCTCCAAGCTTGTATGATCAGCAGCTCCACATTTTCGATCCACGCGGGATGTTCGCTGGTCTGTGTCCACCTCACCTGTACTCGGGCCAAGYAGAAGGACTGCTCGTCAAAAGCTTTGCGCCAYAGTCGCCAATGCCCAGGAWTAATAAGCGGGACAGAAAGAGGCTCGAACGAGAAGGAAGGAGAAGGATGAAGATCGGACTGCCAAAAGGTGGGGAAAGGAGAGTGGAGACCGAAGATGGAGAGAGGAGCGAGGGGATCGGCGTGGTTCATTGGGGACATGGGAAAGGGACGAGGGTGGGGATCGCCACCGGCGGCTAGCGCAAAAAACTGYGGATCTCACCAAGATCCGGKGCAAAGGTCGAGATGAGGTTATGCCCTGGCCGGGCAAGACCGTACTGCCACACGTTGGACACCTGCTCCGTCCAATCTSGCAGCGAGGTCAAGATCGCGGTATGCCACCGTGGATTGAGCGAACTGATGTCGCCGCTGAAAGCCGCAACCGTGGTGACGTGGCTCRTTCCGGGAGCCGCTCGCCGATGAACTGCTATTACCTTYGCTCGTACCACTGCATGTGAGCTCCCTTCGAGTCAAAACACAACGGCGGCACACACACCCACGTCGCAGAAGAACTGCGCGACGCGCCGAAGATCCGTATTAAGCCGTGGATGACGGACTTGCCGAATTCCTGAGATGTGGCCACGTGGCTGCAATAGCTGTTCGTCGAGAGCCCGCTCCGTGATGAAACTCGTGGCGAGGTCGGAGAGGCAGACGAAGGGCAGGAGGGAGAGAGCGGAGAGAGAGTTAGATCGTCGTCGTTCTCCTCACTTTCGGAGGAGGGAGAGAGAGGAAGATGAGAGGGAGGAAGAGGACGAAGGTAGGAGGTATGCCGGACGATGGGGACAGAGCTATGGCTGGCACTAGCCTCCGGCGCGATGCGCACCGTGTTGGCGCCGTTAGGACCGAGCTCGATTACGCGAAAGCAGCCAGAGAATTTGGGAGCGAGTTTCCGGTCGCGTGCACATTTGCGTACCTGCACTAGGTCCCCTAATTTATATTGATGCTGGGGCCSAACATTTCCATTCCGAGCCTCATAGCTACGGACCTGCCTACCGTGGGCCAGATTGGTCATCCTTTGTCTTTTTCGGGCTAGCTTCGGGACAGCCCGCTCCATTAATTCGGTGTACCTTTTGGCCTTGGCCTTGAGGGCTGTACGCGTGTCTCTACCCCCTGCTTCGACAATTTCCGAGTTACCCCGGTAGTCGACACAGGGGAGGYTATTAGTACGAAGTTGAAAAGGGGTAAACCCCGTGGATTCGTGAGGGGTAGCCCAGTGGATCCCGACGATCTGATATACGATTTCGGGTCACGGACGCGTGTCGTGTGCCACTAAATTCCTGCGAAGGGCGGTTTTAATCATACGGTTGGCATTCTCAGTCAATCCGTTCGACTGCGACACGTGGGGTGCCGTATGTCGAAGCGTGACGCCCCTCCGTGCGAGCAATTCCTCTACTTCTGCCTTAAATTCGGCCCCATTGTCGGTGAGAATTTCCTCCGTATCTAGATGGGTATAGAGGAACCGTTCGATGTACGTGGCTTTTTCTGCGGCAGTCGGGTCTTACAAGGATAGACCTCGATGTACTTGGAAAAATGGTGTATTAACATTAACAGGATAGAATATTCACAGCGATTTGGGCCAGGTGGCACGTCGATATCTGTTGTGTCCATACTGACTCGTTGGAAGGGGCGCTCTACTTCCGTTGGTACTATCGTGTTTGGTCCCCGTATTGGGGCGCGATCAGCGGCACAGACCAGACAGTTGGCGACAATGTATCTGACATTATCTCGTATGTTGGACCAGAACCATTGGTTCTGGTCTATAGTTGCCTCCGTGACACGTATCGCGAAATGAGCGGCCTGTTCTTCGTGAGCCGATCGGATCCAATTGTATCTCTGGAATGGATGGGGAACCGTCAACCACGAACCCGATCCGTCAGTTTTACACTTCTCCAAATGACCGTTGATCCACCGATAGTCCCGAGATCTCTCGGTTGCCCTACGTCTGTCGTGTTTGATGAGGTGTCCCAATGATAATCCCGTTGATTTCGCCAATAAAATTTTATCCTTCCAAACCTCCGCTCGTCGGTATTTTTCGTCGTATTCAGGGTCGTCCGTACGGGCGGCCTCGAATCGAACCTCCGTGGGGAGTTTGTTCGTTCTACACAGGGGGCACCTCCATTCCTTGCTACTCGTCCGATATCGAACACAAGCCCTGTGCGCACGATTGACACACGCGGTACATTCTACCCAATCGACAAACCCGGTTTCGAAAGGATGACAGTCGAGCCCATAAACTCGTGCAATACACGTAGAAAAATAGTAGAATTTATCGGAGAGGGTGGCAAAGAAAGCTGAGGAAGTGAGAGGGGCAAAATAGTAGGAGAAGAAGGGGTTGGAGAGACAGGTGGGGTAGTCATGATGACAAAGGAGGAGAGATGAGACCGAATTGCGGAGAGGGTAGACAAATTGATCCTCGTGTTACTTACTGCTTCGACAAGATCTCCACTTGGCTGTACCAAGGTCCAACCTCCTGTTCGGGTTCGTTCCACGGAATCACCTCCTCACTCTTCGGAACTTTCTTAGGCCGGTGCAGTCGTGTCAGTCCGTTCGCATTCCCGTGTCTCTCGTGCTTCCGATGACGAATGTCAAAGTCTATGCTCTGTAGCACCGTTGCCCATCACCTGATCATGCTAGAGTAATCCTTCGATTTCTTCAGAGCCAACAGGGGCTTATGATCGGTTACGAAGGTGAACTTCCGCATGTACAGGTAAGCGTGAAAGTGACTGATTCCCCAACGAGCCACGTAGCATTATCCCGTCGGAGCAGCGTAGTTGCGCTTGTAGGCGAGCACCGATTTGGACGCATACTCCACCACGCTCTCGAGTCCACTTGGTCCCACCTGGGCAAGGATCGTCGAGATCGCCTCTGGCTGCCAGTCAGTGATGAAAACAAAAGGTTTTTCGGGATCCGATCTTATAAGGAACGGAGCCGAAATGTGAGCGGCCTTGAGTTTCAAAAACGCTTGATCACACTCCGGCGTCCAGATCAACGGCCGATCTTTGCGCAACAGATTCGTGAGGGGTCCCGTGATCGCCGCGAAGCCCTTGATAAATCTTCGGTAGTACGAGGCCAGGCCCAAGAAGGCACTAACGTGCATGATAGTCGTAGGCACCGGCGCATCTCTGACAACTGCCACCTTTTGTGGCTCTGGTTGGAGCCCCTTGTCCATTACCAAGTGTCCTAAGAAGGAAAAGGTGGTAAGAAAAAACTGACACTTCTCAAGCGCCACCTTGAAACCCGCATCTCGTAACGCATGCAGAGCCCACTCAATGTGCTGCACGTATCCCTCGTAGGAACTCGATGTCGAGCGCACGGTCCGGCGCCGCACGCGGTAGAGCGGAACCCTCTCGGCCTCATCACGCAGGAGTTGGACCACCCTTGCCGCGAACACACAAATGGAGCTTTCTTAGGCCGCTCCGACCGAGTGCGCCAGCCATACCTCTCGCGAGCCCCTACAACAGGATAGGGCCTACGCGAGGCACAACTTACCTCCACCTTACGGGAGTTGTCAACTGCCTTCGGTGGGCGTATCCCCGCCGAGCTACCAAACCATAATACGAAGGCTAATCAGTCGCAATTGCAGAGGTGGACCAGCCGAGGGCGTTTCTCGTTCGCTGTAGCACTAGGACGTCTTGGGGGGCTGAGGTCCCAAGCGCGGCTCGTCGTCGGTCGATTAGGACGCATCCCACACACCACGCCCACACCACTCCAACAAACACAAAAATGAAATGCATGCACACACACACATTGCACAACCGACACGACCTGAACAACGGGACACACACAACGCGACAACGCTCCTAGCCCGTCGGTAACCATCCCATAATTTTTTGTCGCGGACGTCAGATAAGCGTCGCGCGCGAGACAAGGTATAAGACCACACAGACGCATGACTAACTCATATCGGCGCGCAGTGCAAATGTACGCAAGCAGTCGCAATGATGGCGTACTATATAGTGCCCATAATCAAACGGTCCCTCGTGGATCCAAGTACCGCTTATGACACTCAAGTGTCAGACTCGAAGCGTCGTGAGGTTCTAATCCTTCACGACATTGCACGGTTGAAGGAATAGTCGTGCGGCCGCCATGAGACCTCCGACCTTTGGTCTGAGCGTCTCGGTAGGCAAGGCAAATAGGCTCCGCGCGGGGGCAGATTCCTTCCCTGCATAGGCTAGGGCTTGGGATGTCCTGGACAAGGACCTTGAATCCCGACCCAGGACCAACGCCCGACTATAAAATCTCCGAGAAGCAAAGGATAAAAGAGAATCTCCCTTTTCTCTCAAGGCATAATCAGGTTAATCCTTGCGCAGGATCACAGTAAGCCGCGCGTATACCCAAGGCACATATAAATATATACATAAGGCTTAATTATATAGGACGATCACTTCTCACAGTCACAGTGGGGCTCCTCTCAGCCACATACACATGTAATCGCAGACAGTCACATCGAAAGTTCGAATCACAACCATACCTGCAATCACATCAAAGATCAACAAAAGTCCACGCACTACACGGGGTCAACTTCAACCATTCTCGATGCTCATACCCCTTGCTTTAGCCATACAAACCTCACTCTTGTGCAACTCCCCAAAATAAATACTCAGTACTTTTGTTAAATGGCCATTCAATAAAGTCCGGGTAAAAACACAATGAAAGAACTCAAGCCACAGGGCTAAAGTCTTTAGGTTAAGTGACAAGAGTGGATTGAAGTTCAATCGTAAACCGACGAGTCGGCAACCGACCTATTATTAGTGATAACAGAGGATGATCCTCAAGGAATCAAGCTGAATCTAGTTCCGATCTTGAATCAGACAACCCAAAGGACCTGTAACACAAAGTTAGTCAAATGCCAAAACTAAAATATCAACATATGGGGGATAAACCTCCATAGCACACTTTCACTCAAAGTTATCTGCCAACTAAGTCTAAGTCTACCACTAAGCAAGTGCCCAAAGCGAGGGTAGACTAATGGCAGGATCTCCCCTAGTCAGGGTGGATCGCCAAAAAATCGCTACCTGTAAAAATATAATCTAACTCCTCTAAATCATGAAAATTTCGGCAGCGCTTCCCGTAGGAAAAATGTATTTTCAGAATATTTATAAGCTCAAATATGAAAGCAGGAATAATTTTTAACTCTCGAGAGTCAAATTTTGTCTAACTCCCTGAATTACTAAAAATTTGGGCAGCACTCCCTTTAGAAAGGAAGACTTCTTATATTTATACTAAGTCAGATTCGAACTCAAAAACAAACTTTGAGTCCAACTTAGAGAAGATTTAACTAACTTTTTAGTTTTGCAAAAATTTTGGCAGCACTCCCTTTAGAAAAGTGTTATTCCAAAATTTATATAAGGCTAAATCCAGAATTTAAGGATAACTTTGACTTCTCAAAGTCCAATTTTATCTAACGCCCTGAATTAGCAAAACTTTGGGCAGCACTCCCTTTAGAAAAGGAGACTTTTTATA